GAAGCGACGGAGCGTCTCAAGCTGGCTACATCATCCTGCTCCTCAACAAGAAACTGCTGGCAACAGATGGTCCTGAGGGGGCCTACCACGTGTTGGACTGGCGTTCGATGAAGACGCCACGGGTCGCAAGATCCTCCTTGGCTGCTGAAGCTCAGAGCGGTGGGCAAGCATGTGATGCTTTGGAGCATGCTAGCATCTACTGGAGCCTACTTGTAGATCCACAACAAGGTCTGAAGCGGACCCTCGATGCTCCTTCGATGCTGGCCCCGGTGATGATCACCGATGCAAAAGCATTGTTCGACTCCTACCACAGAGAGGGAGTTTCCAGCTCAGTAGTCGACAAGAGAGTCTCCCTGGAGATCAAGGTCATGAAGGACAGGCTGACATCCTTGGGTGGCACCTTGAGGTGGATGTCATCGGGGAGGCAGTTTGCAGATGGCCTCACCAAAGAGTCAGCTCGCCTGTTGTTAGCTCAACGTCTTCGGCATGGTCGCTTGAAGTTGGTGTGGGACCCAACCTACAAGGCCGCCAAGAAAAAGACGAAAGATGAGCTGCTTCAGAGTCGCATGGAAAGTGTTCATGAACATGTTCAACCACCTGCCGCCCCAACAGCAGAGAACGAAGATTCAGAGCACACTCCAGCTGGCAACAAGCACGCCATCGAGGAGATTGAAATGGATGAGCCCGTGTCTTGGTATGAGCAGGCCACTCCGAATGTCCTCATGGCAAAGACCGATGACCAGCTGACCTATGTGTACCGTAGGTCCTGCCATGTCGCCTGCCGCCGCATGGACAAGGTCTACCCCTGTCGCTTGAAGAACTTCATTTGTTGGTTGTGGTTGATGTTCTTGTTGCCCGTCCTGGCCTCCGGACATGAAGTTGAAATGGAAAAGAAGGGAGAAGCTGATGTTTTTGGCATTGCACTTTGCACCTTTTTCTGCATGGTCTTGAGCTTTGTTTACCTCATGGGACGATGGTCCAAAGAAGTGCGCTCACCTCCACACCTCACAACAGCCGATGCAGAAGTCCAGAAAGACGAGCCCGTGGTGCACAGTCGACTACGGGAAGAGCTTGCAAAAGCCAAGGAAGAAGCTGCACTTTGGCGCGAGCGCGCTGTTGAATATCGTAGCTCTGCCTTCGAGAGTCGAGCGTCCATCGACCTGATCATGGCCGAACAACATGGCACCGAAAGCCTGCTGAGTGAAGCCTCCAACCTCCTGAGACAAGCACTTCGGCAGATGGACGAGCATTCGAACGAATGCCCCTTTTACCAGCAGATCTGGGTCACAAGACATGGCTACCGCTGGCACAAGACCCGACACTGCACATCCCTCGAAGGAAGAAGCACCCAGAACCAGCAGCTAATTCCAGCATGCAATCTGTGTAGCTTGCGCATCCTTCCGCCTGACCTGGTGGAACAGAACTTTGGTGCATCTTTAAGAACCTTGGTTCTGGCCTGGCTCGACCGGCATGAAAGCCGATAGCGCTCCTCCTGTGTAAAGTGCACGCTGAGCACTTGAGTTGAGCATGGTCGGTCGAGCTGTTTTCCTTTTGCACCGCAACTCGATCCACTCAAGATGGGTGGGCATTGCTGCTAAAATAGGCACGGCCGTGGGACGCGTCGCGTTCCGTCTTTGCTTCGTACGTCCCGGACTTCGTGCGCCGGGCCCGCTACTTTGACACATTCTTATAAAAATTACACATCGAAGTGCTTCGATCGCGGCGATACGTGTCTCACAGTGATTTGGCACCATCCACCTTGCTTGGAGCTCCGCAATGCAATCGGACCTCAAGACCAACGGTCAACGGTGATCCGAGTCGCGACGAGTCCGAAAGTCGGGTCCGGTAGACTCTGACATACAGTCCGGTATATAGACGGCTAGGAGCGGAGAGCGGAGCCGATAGGTGTCCAAGAATTGCAAGGTGAAGCTACTAGGAAAAAAGGGCATCGCTACTAGGGGCTCCTGGCCTTACTAGTAGTAACAAGAAGCCACTAGAAACAATAAGCTACCAGGAACAAGATCGGCAGGTCTTGGGATCTTTCACCGGAAGGACGCGCCCGCGAAACCTCAGGGACTTGCCGTGTCCGAAGCTCGTCTCGGAAGGACTCAATGCGTTCCAACTCACTGGACCTCAAGTGTCGTGATCGTTTTTGTGGAAAAAACAAAGAAGAAGCAGCAGCAATGCAGAGAATTGGTTTGCTGCAAGGAAGCTTCTCTTTTAAAGATGTTTTATCTGAGGGCGAGGGAAGCTTCCTGAAAGAATTCCAATTGTTAGATCAACAGGCTCTCCTGGTTTTGCATGGGGTGTGGTTTGGGTGCTTTTTGTACTCGTGAGTCTTACAACAAAAGAGCCATTGGTTCCTCTTAGGCAGAAGTAATGTCTTCCGTTTACCGTTTCGGCAACCCCCTCTTGGTTGAGACCGATGCCGGGCTTGCTGCAGCTCTTCCTTTAGGTCTTCCAAGTATGCGGCGTGGCTTGACCTCTGAGTTTGCTAGAGATCGAAGCAAACCGCAAAAAAGGGATCAACAAATACGAGTATTGACAGGGAGCTTCTGAGCGTGTCCTGGGTTTCTGTGAGCATTTACTTAGACAGAACAAATACATACAAATACCACATTCCTGCCTAGATTGCTCGAGCTCATCGCGCAAGACTTGAAGACCAAACCTCTGACGATCTCTCACGAGAACAGTCAGAGTCTTGCCAATCTGTGGAAGTGAAGAAATCTCAATGAATAGCATGTGAACTCATATGACTAATACTAGATGCAGCAGGTACAGAATCCCCTTGCAGACCTGCTACTTTCAGCAGAAGCTCAGAAATTAGTTGGGAAAGACCTGAGTCTTCGTAAGGGCCTTAATCAAAAAGCAACAGTTTAACCAGTTTAAAAGCCAAGAGCCACCACCTCGACGACCCCAGCATCAGCACTGCCTCGAATCTCGAAGCTCCTCCCGCAGCTGAGTAACCTCTGATTCCGACCTCGCTTGACACATCCAGCAAACTAACAAAAACAGCAGTCTACTTCTAGGTTTAGGTTCCCTCGGAAGTTGGTTCACCAACATGCTCATCTTGTCGGCATCGGAGGCAAACAGTTTCATTGGGTTCAACTTAAGATTCTACTTTGATAGCCTCTAGCCTCTGAAGATTCCGTTACACTTCCACCCGCAGTGCCTCAGGCTGGAGAGCTCTTCCTTCCAAAGCTCATGAATCCCAGCCTCACTGGCCCTGGATCAGGGATGAACTCAGATTCTGAAAGCTGAGCATCAATTGACCTCTGGTGATGTTGGTGTTCTTCCACGTCTTCTTTGTTAATTGCTGTTTGCTGCAATAGCTTCTTCCTGTACGGAAAGTCCAATGGGTTGTGATAAAAGGACGTCGCATGTCGCACATTGCAAAGTTTTTCTTTTGTCTCCGAGACACGAACCTCCCAACTTCTAAACTTCTTTACTTCCACAAAATGCCAGCTCAAATGGTTGGAGAATCCTCAGGCATCCAGAACGTTCTACTGATATTTCCGGTGTGTGGATAACCCACCCGAACAGTGTTCACAAACCACATCCCGATGCCTAGCTTCGGTCAGCTCATCTTTCAAGATCGCTGCGTGAGCCTGGAAGGACACTCGGTGACTGACAGCACCACACTTCGTACACCGGCCGTGAAACTCGTGTGAAATAACTTTGCTGTATATGTACACACACACATATATGTGATAACTGTTGATCAAAGTTTCTATATCCCATAGTTCAACATGGAGTCTGATAAACCATTGGCTTGTTCAGCATCGATGTTATTCCAAGGATTCCAGTGTTCACTTCTTTTGATCTCAATTTTGACCAAGCCGCATCATGTGTACCACCACCGCTTTGGGCATGTTTATTTGGACCAATGACTTTCGGGACAAGGCCACAGAACAATAGTTCTTTTTCGAGATGGTACGATTGTAGACCCCTAGCTGAATTTGTGCCAGAAAATGTGGCGTCCTCTCGACAGGTGATGAAGTCAAACGCATGCCGCGGACGAAGCCAATCGAAACCGCGTCGAACAACATCGAACCCTATTCTGTTCAACTCTGCCCGTTGAATTGAATAAAGGTGTTTGATGCCGGAACGACAAGTCAACAATGCACACAAAAATAATCACAAGGATGCTCTGTCTACACAATGCACCACACTATGACACCATCTGTCCTTGCTGAATTGCAAACACATCAAAGGGCCTGCGTCCTCTGAATGAGCTGGTTCAAAGAGTCCGTCTGCTCAGTCAACTTTCTTCTGGCCTCGCATCTCTTTCCGCCCACGCCCAACGGCCCAACGCCGTGTAGAAACCACTGTTGCCACGGGAGACTGGTGTTACACGTTGGGGCCAGACCTGAAGCTTTATCTGTGCTCGACAGCCATGCCAGGCTCTCCATTCACCTATCGCCTATCTCCATCAAACTCTGTGCCTTCAATTTCTTGGCAATCCTCAAAGAACAGAAGCAACTCTCTTCGGTGAGCTCTCGCCTGTTGCGCTTCGGTGAGCTCCAGCTGCGATGCCGCAAGCTCGGTGCGGACCTGCGACGAAGGGGGGCGAAGGGTTTGCCCCAAAAAGAGCTGTAGGAACAAGCGAAGAGCTTGTAGAAACAAAAATAGCAACAAATGTATACAAATGTCTACTATATACTACATACATCTACATACTATATACATACTACGTACTAATGCTGCTGCTTCTTTTTCTGCTGCTGGCTTCAAATTCATCTGGTACGAACACTCAATCAATTAATGGACCCCCACTCTCTCGATGGCTTCTGCATCAACAAACCTTGTCACCAATGCAGCAATGCATATCCGATAATCTACGGCCTCTGCAGTTTTGGCAATGGCAAATGCAGTCTCCTTCCTGTCAGGTTCTTTCCAGGGACCATGCTGCTTAGCAAGTGACCATAGGAAGTTTTTGCAATGATGCAGTTTCCTCTTGCAAATGACAAGAACGTGTGTCACGAGAAAACACTTTTTCTTCGCGTTCTCTTGATATCTAATGCAACAAGTAGTCCAGGAAGGATCCGGACCTAAGATGTGCAGCAAAACGGCAGAATTGGCCACCGACTTGTTACCTAAGCTGCAACATCTTTGGAACAGGAGAGGGTGTACGGCGTACTAAGAATTGACGGGTGGTTCGCTGCACGGCTTTTGGACGTCCAGAAAAGGCTCAATCAAGACCAAGCGGCAAAACCATGTAAAACCTCTTTGTGCGTCCTGGAGGCTTTACGAAAAGGAGATCATGGTCCACGCGAAGGGTGACAATCCGATAGGGCACCTCGGTCTCCTTGACAAAGTCCCAGAAGGCGACCGCTTCGGTGCTGGTACTCCTGTGTTCCAAAGTTCCGAAAACATGAAGTTACACGAAGTCACAAAAAGCTCTGTTTTCAGCCCCGTTTTGTTTTTTATCATAGACAGTCTCGCACCGCAAGGCTCAGTCATTAAGAGAACCGCGCAGCAAGGCATCTTCTCTTGACTGGAAGTTCCCGGTGAATTGACGGGGAGGGGGGACAAAGCTTCCTCAAAGTCCGTGTCATAAGACGTCAAAGTCGTGTTTGCAAACGGGTGGTGTGTGCTCGCTCTTCTTTGCGGAGAATGCTTTGCTTTTCTGTTTGCTTCTTCCCCCCCTTTCCGTCTTGTCTCAACGGGCGGTCGTTTTTGCGTCCTCACCAAAACAGCTTGGACACGCCCGGCGTGCAACCAGCGCAGCGCTCCGCGGAGGGCGTCCAATTCCACTCTAAAGCCCAGGTACAAACTGACCTCAGCGTCTTTTTTTACAGGAAATACTAACTATAATATATATATATATAATTATATATATATATATGATTTATGTTTTTTCGATTTTGTAGGGGGGGTAGGCCGTCAGTAGAGGTAGAGGTAGGATGAGGTAGGTAGGTTAGCCAGGTAGGTAGGTAGATAGTAGGAGCAAGGGAGTCGCTAGTACCTACAAGTAAGCTACTAGTATTGACGCAGGATAGCTCACGCTTCTAATGATTTGGTTCCTAGGTTTTTAGGGAAACTCAACTAATAGCAATGGCCTCCAGCCTAATAACGACTTTAGCACCAATATTTAAAACGTTGAACACAGAACTATCATGGCGGGATAATGCATTCAATCTAGATATTTTGGTTGTTGACCTCATCTGGATGACACTTTGGACGCCGCGGCAAGTCTTGAGCAAAACACATATCTAGAACACCCAGCTCTCATTAAGAAATATAGGTACAAATACAAGTCAAACAGAAAAAACAAAAAATAAAGGACGACATCTTCTAGGTTGGAGGCCATCGCTGCTGGGTTGCAGGTGATCGTTATTAGGTTGCAGGCCATCGCTATTAAGTTGGAGGCCATCGCTATTGGGTTGGAGGCCATCGCTGTTAGGTTGGAGGCCATCCCTATCAGGGTCGAGGCCATCGCTTGTAAAACAGGACATCTTCTAGGTTGGAGGCCCTCGCTACTGGGTTGCAGGCCATTGTTATTAGATTGGAGGCCATCCCATTAGGTTGGAGGCCATCGCTATTAGGTTGGAGGCCATCCCATTAGGTTGGAGGTCATCGCTATTAGGGTCGAGGCCATCGCTGGTAAAACACAAAAAAATCAACGACATGCTTGAAATTAGTTTTTCTCCATAGAATGAGATGGTGTCCAGTAGCATTAGTGGAACCGGCAAGTGCGTCTGCGAACTGCCAAAGCACCAAATGCACATCGTCTTCTGGATTCAGCTTCCAGTTGTCCAAAATGCAGTCCATGGTCTGGATGTCCTGGATACAAGAATAGTCTCAACGTTGCACATAGGTGAACGTGTCCCTTATTGTTTCACCATCCCTATTATGTTGATATGGACACATCCTTTGTAAAGACATGCCAACGCATTGAAAGAATGAACCGGCCTACGCGAGAATCCGTATCTGGGCATAAATGGCAAAAGTGAATTCTTGAAACCCTTGACTTGTGTTGGTCAGATCCCTTTGTCGCACGTGGCCTGCTCTTCAGCACAATCAGCTTCTGCAACCACTTGAATAGCTTGAACTTCCACAATACCTGCAACACGTAGACTCCGTCAATGTCAATCCCATTCCTGTCTTCTTTGACGACTTTACAATCATTGAGCTACTTTTCCTCAAACAAAGCAATGAATTATTAGTTCAGTATGGAACACGCGCTTGACTATGTTGCTTCCGTTCATCCAGCTAGAGCTCAGCAAAGCATCATCAAACCGGAGCCAGTATTTCGTTGCGAATCTGGTCTGCGCATGTGCACATGCGCCCGACTTATATACCTAACACAAAGCCCGCAGGACTTGGAAAATCCTTCAGGAGGGACCCAACTCCTTTGAGACTGCCTTGCGGATGCCGGGCCAGCCCAGATGCACGGCGGATGTTCGCCGAATGATCCTTGCGCATCTCCACCGCCAAAACACGAACGCCTGGAATTGTTTCTGTCAAAATCACAAAAAGACCTGAAAGCACCTCCTTCAGACAAAGATTTCTTTGACAAACTCTGCGAACAAGATTGCTTTTGCAAGATTTCTCCACAAAATCTCCCTCCCAATACACTCTACAAATTGCTACTCGCCTGAAGACCAACGCGCAGCAGACCACAAGGTGCAGTCGCCCAAGTGAGCTCCTGGCGATGGACAAGTCCGAATCGTTGGGATGTCAAGACTCCAACGTGCCCAAAACGACCGCTCCGTTCGTAGCGATGCCCTTTGACGCCACATTGATAACACTGCCTGGCCTACGTCCACGAGACGAATTGGCCATTGGCCACCCCTCATAGTCCTTTGAGGATTCAGGGTAGCTGCAAGCATCCAAGTGGTGCATGAATCAACTCCAACATGCTTGATTCAAGAGAACATCTTGTTCAAAGTGCGCTCCAGTTCTTCGACATACTGTGAAGAGCACAACGAAATGTGAAGAAATGAGGCGTTGCAAAGCCGCCCGAGACTCCGATTCAGGTCCAACATCTCTGCAACATACTGGAATGCCTCGGTGCTTCGCACAAAAACATCAATCAAATCAAACAGTGGTAAGAATGTTGCTTAGACTCAAGACAGCATTGAAATGTATTGCATATGATTTATTGTTCGAAGTTCTACGTAACGGCATGATGATCTTGCCATGAGTCTGGCCCAAACACAAACATGCAAGCCTAAGCCTTGGAACAGCGTGCATAACGTTTGCCAGCTGAATCATAGCTGGCCGCAGGATTGCAATGTGGAGAGCCCATTGCCCTAATGCGGTCTGCCAGAAACCTTAACTAACAGGAATCAGATCAGAGAAACACACATGAAAAGAAAAGTCTTTGATATGGTGCCAGCAAAGGCATCAAGGTGAGGCATAATTCCAACGGTCACACCCTTGCTAGTTGAGACACCGAGACCATAGTGCCATAGAAAATACGTATCCGTGTAAAATTCTCCATGACATAGTTACACAGTGGTGCCATCTTCAGGCAAAGCCCCTGTCAATTTCACGTTTCGGTTTCATATTGGCTAACCGAGCCGCCAAAAGCCCTCTTCAGCTTGCTCAAGGCCAATAATGTGTGGTGGGTGGAGGCTCATGGGAAATGTCACAGGTTCACTGTGGCTTTCCAGCAACCTACGGCTTGCCTCCGACACATGGATCCTGAAAGCAAGACTTGCCAATGTGTTTGAGCTTGGGCGCCCCAGATTCAATATTGACCAAAAGCGAGCCACTGCAGTAACCATCAGCGACTAGCAATCTTGTCCTCGTATCCTCGAGCTTGAACTCTGAGAACACTGTCACATCTCTAGAAGCACTCAGTCGGTCAAGACCTTGCGCGAGCTGAACGTCAGGAGTCACGACAAGAGGATTCCCGTTCCACTACAATTCCACTGACCAACGCAGCAAGATCGGGAAGCAAGCGTGAAAGAAATCAGATTGCATGAGAGCACACTGCATTGACCAGCACTGGGGCAAACTAGGGGCTCCTGGCATCGCTACTAGGAGCAAGGACGCTACTAGTAGCTCCTAGCCTTACTACTAGGAGCAAGGACGCTTCTAGGAGCAAAGGGTATCGCTACGAAAGAAGCAAGAAGCAAACCTCAAAAGCTCTGACTCTTTGTGCCTCGCCAAAGCGTGGCCCAAGGTGGTGTCAAAAGCCGCCCAAGGTGAAACGCCTGGAGTGTCTGGAAAAATCAAAGCTAGGTCCGGTTGCGTTCGTGATCACCAAACACTGCTTAGAATACATTGGAACCCCGGTAGCACCAGTACACCTCTTTGTCTCTGACTTGTTTACCGAAACATGGTGGTTCTCCTCCAGGCATCGGCGCACCACTTGCTGCACTGCTTCCAGTGAAGCAAGCCGCAACCAATCCTGTCCAAGATTGACGCTTATAATCCCCCATGCTTGTGCTTGCAGCACTTACATCCCTCTCTCTTTCTCTCTACATTTTACGGGCATATATTTTTTGTTGCCGACTTCCCGATAAAGAACACCCGGGTTTGGTTGTTCATACGCCTGGCTGTGGCCCCCAGTGCGCTGCACAAACTGCACCGCAGAGTGGGCCGCCCAAAAAGCAAAGTCCGCATCGCAAGGGTCTGCAGCAGCACATGAGTTTCTACGGATTTCTGTGACGGATTCACGTGGAAGAGTCGGTTCAAGTAGACTTCGGATGCCAAGCAAGTAGCTTTCCCAGACGAGCTGTTACAGGAAAAACGATCAAAGGATATCAAAGGCGCATAAATGAACCCCCCCTGTGCCATATCGGTATTGCGCTATCTACCCGAGAACATCTACACAATCACATTCGAGCTTGGACACTCGGCCTGTGTGGCTTGGTGTGGACAGGTGCCCCACGTCGGGCAAGGACCAATTGCCTATGCCAGAGAGAAACTATGGCCATGTGATGCAGAACACACGGACAAGGCCTTAGAATTTACACAGATGTTTGCCTGCAGGCAAAGATACCGGCTAATTGCTCCAAGATCAGTGCAGTTGTCTCACACCAATCCCCTCCTGAAATCAGCCAATTCCTCCAAAGACCTTCTGCAGAAACGTTGTCTGCTTTCTGAGATATCACGGAAATGTCTGCCAAGCGCTCTGAGAGAATCGCAAGCAGCCTTGTCCAAACACGTCGCGCGACGTTCGATGGGGGGCTTTTTGGCCTCATCATATTTTGGGAAATGCAATGCTCGGCTCAGCTCACCATGTATCATGGGACATCACTGTCCTTCTTGAGTTGTTCTCATGGAAGCCCGCGCTCTCGCAATGTTCCGTCAAAAACGGCATGATAGACCCCTAAGGTCATGAGATGAAATGAGATCCCTTGAGGGGTGGTTCTATTATGTTCTATATAATATGTTCTATTGATTTGACTGGTTCGTCAGATTGTAGGCCTCACGGTGCCTCACGGCACGTCTGCAGATCTATTAAAAACACATCAAGCACACTTTGGAACACCGCCATGCGAAGTCAAGACTTGCATGGGGCTCACCCTATATTTTCTGACGTCCCTCTGCACACTAAACATTGAACATCTCCATACACTACACGTTGTTCCCTATTGAAGCCATGTGGCGCGAAAAAGGGCCAGGCGATCGCGGAAGGATCCGATGTCCATGGTTCAGTCAAAGCTTGTTGCAATGATACGAGGACCTACGGCGAGCAACAACAGGCCGGTGTTGTGCCACAACAAATGGTGAATCCTAGGAGAACAGGACAGTATGCCTTGGGTACAGCCTTGAGTCCTATTTCAAGAAGCTTCAACCATCGCCACCCTTGACTCTCTTAGCAAGGTGTCCCCGGCCTCTTTGGCAGCGAGCACTTCGCGGCTATCCTCGAAGCCATTGAAGGACATGGTTTGAAAAAGTTGCACAACCTCAGAGCCAGCAATACCCTTTCAATAAACGTTTGCCGCAACGAGCACCTACGTCTCACTCTGTGTAGTTCTGATCTTTGTGCCCAATTGCTTGAAGGCTCAAGTTTGACCAAACACATGTTTTGGTTTCACCAATTAAAAACCGTGTCAAACACAAACTAAACGCAGTATGAGCGGCCGCTCGCCATGGGAAAAGGTTGACACAAAGCAGCAACCCCAGTGACGCTGCCGCGAAGACACATTGACTTCGCTGCTCTTTGGCGCCAGTCGTCTCATGGTCAAAAATGATCTCAGCCCTCAGTCGAGGACCCATCAGGATAGATGAACATGACGTGTATATAATGATGTAATGGTCGAATGCCATACAGTAAAAAAATAAGACCGCGACAACAACAACAACAAGCACGCAGAGAGAATGCTTTTCCCGTTTGAGTCGAAGCACCACACAACAGCCTCTGCAAGCTTTCTATAACGATAATAGTTTTGTGAAGGGAAGCAACGCGCGTAGCCCTGCAAGCTTCGACGCCTCGAACTCAAAACGGTGACGTCAATGGAGATTAAGAAAAGAATGGAAGAGGACATCTACAAACCAAGAATTTGGCTTCTAGCATCTTCAGATGTGAGAATACTGTCTTCCCTAAAGTTGACAGTATCTATAATTTGCACATGTGGCCAAATCATGCCAAATCCCAATCCATGCTGAAGCGGCTATATGAAGATGAGGAGCGATCCTTGTTGCGATCAAGAAGCACATCGCTCAACGGTGGATTGCGGCCGTAGATCGATCTGCCATGAAGCATCGTCTTGTCGCAAAGGCCATCCGCCATGTGAAACGGACCAATTGGCACCGATGGGGACAACGATGGGGACAACTTGTTACTACTAGTAAGGCACTTGTTACTAGAAGCTATGCACTTGTTACTAGTAGCTTCTTGTTTCTAATAGCTTCGAATCCAAATCTGGTTGACATAATGCTTTCCCTTGCAAACCATCTCCAACGGGGCATCTGCAAGGCAGAAGTCGTCTGAGCGTCTAAATGCTGCATTGCCATAATATCAAACATCATCATTAATCATATCAATCAATATGAGCAAGTCAAAGGTTGTCTATCTTCAAGTGGCTCCGAACCCTCAGGAACTGCGGCGAACTCATGTGTCGTGTGATTTGTTTCCAGTCGTTTTATTGCATTTTCTGGCTGCCCAACAAGACTTGCATATCTCCATGACAACACACACACTTTCCACTCTACGGTTTCGACAGCCGTCTTGCACTCCTGGCCTGCTCCGTTCCAGGTCGGTTTGACTCTCTTGTGCGCCTGCCTCAAAAGCAGAGTCGCCATTTTCCTTGGTGGAAATATTACCAAACATGGCAGTCTCTTAGTCAATGGTACTTATGTGATGTTCTTGAAGCACCCCCCTTCTTTCCCCTGTGTTGCCTTCTATCGAGCCTTTGTTCCTGAGCTTCCACACGCGAGGCTTTCGCATGCGCTGTCGGGTTTGCTTGTGCGCAGCCAGGGCAGCATCTGCACGCTCCTGATCATGAAACGGTCAAGAAACGCGGGCTTCGCCGCCTCAACACATTCAACACATATTTAAAACACATATGTTTATTTAAATATAAACTCTACGACTCTTCCTAAACTGAAAGCTTCCTAACCAACGATTGACAATGTCATTAAGAATCAGATGTGCAACCAACTCTCGTCCTGTGCCGCTTGGTTGCTGCTTTGAATTCTGCTCAGACTCTCAGGGTCCCGCTCCTGAGAGGAATCAGCTGAATCACTCAAATCCAACAGGAAAAGCAAAACGCATCGAACGTTTTCATTAAACACAAACACATTCTGTCTTTGTACTGATGGGTACTGGTAGCTAGATCCAAAGCCCTTACTAAAGCTTCTTAAAACGGTCTTGTAAGGAGTGTACCTTCAGCTGCCTTCAGTTGTTCATGGCTGAGATCTCCACCTTTAAGCGAGAGTTGCCCAAATACGGAGTTGAGGAAGAGCGCCGCACCTGTGAGCTTCCAAAGACGGACACCAAAAACACACCAATATGCATCATCATTTTATAGCATAGTAACCGAGGGAAGGACAAACATGTTAGGAGTCATAACCTCTTCTTGTTGAGTAAGAAGCACGCTTTGTTGATTTTTGACCAAAAGAAGAAACCCTCACCTATCCTCACCTCTACAAACGCTGCATGATCTGCATGCTGCTTTCACGAACAGTGCCAGCACTCACGGTGCCCCGGCCCGGTGCCTGCGCTCGTTTGAAGCTTTCCCGGAGCTCGGCCAACTCTTCCGCCGCGCTGCTGAAGGTGGAGGATGCACCACTGCAGGCGGTGGCCGCTAGGATCTCGGTGTCACTCGTCAACTGCGGGGAGATGAACATTCTACATGCATCTTTAACAAACATCTTCATCTTCTTGCAAAAGCTTGGAAGCAACAACAGACACCAGCGGCATGAGTTAGATTTGCTTGGATGTGTCTTTTGTTTTAGCATCTTTCGGTTTTACGGCGATGGAACTGAAAGGTCTCCAAGGCGTGGCGGAAGCTACTAGGTGGAGGCCATCGCTACTAGTAACAAAGGGCATCGCTACCAGGAGCAAGGACGCTACCAGGGGCGCTCCTGGCCTTACTAGTAGCAAATTAGCAATTAGTAACAAGAAGCTACTAGTAGCTCCTGGCATTACTACTAGGAACAAGAAGCTACTAGGGTGGAGGACAACGCTACTAGTAACAAGAAGATCTTGCTTAGGCATCTCTGAGGCATCAGCGACGCTGCGTAAAGCCGTGCTTGCCGCCACACGGTTCATGGACTGTGCCAAGCGACGAATCAATCAAAACGAATCCACAAAAACCAAACTGCAAAGACCATATCAAACCATCAAACCTACCCAATACTTTGAGAATCACCTCATCAAACATGTTCGGTGCCTCCCCAGAGAGAACTGACATCTTGCACTCAAGTCCTGGCAATGAAGTTGATTTGGACGCGCTGTCCTTCCCACTGTGACACTGTCCTTCACATCGGCTTCAAGCGGCGAATCTAATTGAAGGAGTCATCGGCTTCGCTGCATGTTTTTTCTTCAACGTCTCTGACCTGTGGAACCACACCCACATATCTCAGCTCACTCTGCACTTAGGGGCGAATGTCGTAGGAGTTGACTTGAGCATGTTGTGAGCCTTGCAATTTCATGACACTTCCTGAGTGATGATACTTTGTTACTTCGTGCTTGAGTTCCACCTTGAACCGCTGCGCCAGTGCTGACAATGACTGGTTTGTGTGCAAAGTGTAGATCACAGTGGGTCGAGACTCCACCGATGGTCAAACAGTTCACGCCATGACACCACTATGTCTCTGTCCCTCTCTCTCTCTCTCTCTTCCTGCATGTTTGGGAATAGGGAACGGGGGACGTTCTAAGAAGAAAGACTCAAGCACTCCAAATGATTAGTGGAACTGTTGACCAGGATACGGCGCTAATGGGAGGCGGCCCCTGCACCATAAATGGGCCCGGCAAAACAGGTGAGTGGCTCAAAAAAAGGTTCAGCACCTGAATGCCGGAAGCTCGAAATTAGAGCAACCAGCCATTTATATAATTTGACTGCGAAACAACAGTTGCTGTATCAAGCCGGTGTTTGAGAAACATTCCAACTTGTCAATTCCAGCAGCAGGAGGTACTCCAAACTTCTGCAGCTACCAAGTGAATTTTCCTTAGACTGCCCGCAAGTTCACCTGCACTTGTACGGGTCTGTCGTATATCTGATAGTGGGGTAGATACTTCTTGAGCTTCTCCCAGGCTCGATGTTCAGGATGAGGACAACAGGTGTCTATGTTCACATCCTCCCTCATTCTGGCTTTCCGCTGATCCATGCTCATTCTCATGTCTGCACGTCCGCGCAAGCCTTTCTTCAACAATTCTTTGTGGCTTTTGTACTCGTAATGAAAGATTATCGCTTTGCTCTGAAGCCCTTCCTTGTCGAACAAATTGACAGGCCCTTCCCGGACCTCCGCCCATACATGCATCCTCAATCCGGCGGCACCTTTTTGCACTCCGTTCGATCAGCATGATGGATTTGCTGTGTTCCGATGTCCTCCGTTCTCGAATTCGTCTTCACGTGCTGATTCACCTTGGACTCAGACAATTGAAATCTCTTTGTCATGGGCTTTGGCTCGTAGACTTTGTGACCTGCTGGTCCAAAAATCAGCCAGTTCGGAGACGGAGACCCATTATGAAGATACTCGGCCAGGTAGTCAATCAAATTTCGATTATCCCTCAAAATCAAGAACTCATCCACATCCAAAAAGGCTGCCCACTTGTAGTACACGCGGTTTACAAGGCAATCGGCATATGCTCCCCATTGAACACGGAACGCCTTCGTGTAATGGAAGGAGCTGACTTTGAGACGGCTCTTTGCCCATGTTCGGAGTTCCCAAGCCTGACTGTTGTCATAGACAAAGATGTGGCTGACACCCAGCCCTAAATGCCCATTCGTCGATGTGTGCCTCATGGCTCATAAAGCAACTGTGTCTGCATGGGACGGTTGGCAGCAAGGCTCCGAGGTGGGCAACATGAAGTCAAAACCTGAATAGTAGAGAACCTTCTTCTTCAGGAAAACCCAAGCACTTGCATCAATCTCCAAATGCGAGCTGGAGTTCTTCAGCTGTGCATTAAAGTGTGAAGACTTGCTATGAGGGACTCTCTGAACATTTCTCATGAAGTTGTTTGATGGATTTTCTCCAGTAACCGTTCTATTTGGCAAGAACTCCAGGTTTATCATAATTTTCAGGTTTTCTCCACCTTTGCCCTTCTGTCCAGTTCTCCAGTCGCACCAAATACTTGGTCCAGTTCATGTCAAAAAATTCCCTCACACGCGTGGTGACGGGAATTGGCTGATATGTGCGGTTCTTTGAGGCAAACAGACGTCCATGCAAAGGTACATACGTAAATTTCACGAAGCCTTGCCAAAATGTCAGCAATGTGAGTATCCAACTCTTGCGGGAACAATATAACTCATCCACATCCAACAACCTAGCCCAGCCATAACCCACTGTCCCTGCCATTTCGATACATTTTTCCAACTTAGCGCAAAAACCACGCCCATCAGTGGCATTCACAGCTGGGAATTGTGTGACGTTCACATTTCGCCTTCCAAAGGCCCAGTTATCCAGCTCAAGCTGGTTGTCCAAATCAAAAACAAAAAAATAATTGATTCCCACGCTTTGTGGAAGTTCCCCATTCTGCAATGTAAGCTTCAGCATCCAGTGCCAACACGCAAAGTGCTACGGGTGCCACACGTGCCTCAAACGCAGCAACCGGAAACGCGTTTTTCCTGGAATTTTGAGGTCCTTGAAAAACAGCAGCGCTGTAATAAGGAGCTTCGCCGGTGCTTGCAAGGCGCCCATGGCTCACTGTCATGCCACGACAGAGCCTGCACACACGCATGTCCTAGTCCGAGATTTTTTCCCAGCAGTGTGGACACACTACGGGCTAAGATGGGCCAAGTAAAAGCACGGTTGAACGTGTTTCATTGTCACGTCACATCAGGCGTTTTCTGGGTGATGTTGCAAAAAGACATCGGTGGGAAAAACAGAAACTTGAGGCGAAGGGGAGAGGGCCGAAAGCTGGCGGAAGCACACTGGCAGATTCTCTACCGCGCCGCGGTCATTGAGGTCAAATATCAATCTTTGCGTCCACTACTCACCGAGATTTCAATGAAGTGGGATCAAGTCAGTGTAGACATATAATGTGAAAGGAACATGCCGCGGCCTTCCGGCGGCATCGCTTCTTGATTGGCCCCAACAAAGGAATCAGTGGCCTGGAGGATCTCGAGGGTCTGGGCCCATGGCTCTCTCGCAGTCGTATCGTAGT